ATGATTCGCTTAAACCAAACTTCAATACACTTATTCACTTCAACACAATTCGCTTAAACCAAAAACTCGTAATACAAAACTAAAAGGGTCAAAATGAATCAAAATATCAGGAAATAAAAAAATAAATGTGGCAACTTGACATTTTTTACAGCAGAGCTACCACCTGAATCGCCAGTGGGAAACTTAAATTCCAGTTAGTCAGTCCGGCGCCGAATATAGCCATGGTTGGTAGCAATGAATTGAATTAATAATCGCGCCCTTGATGAACGTAACTAAAAGTTTATTATTTGGTATCGAATATATTATGTACAGATGGGTCCAATTATGACAAAATAACATCTTCCTCGTTGAACGGCATTGTCACGAATGGATAAAATCGCACGCTTACAATACGCTTCGTTGACAGAGTTTAGTACGCTAGGCTACACAAATTTTGAAACGTCTATGAAGCTATGCCCCCTGGACAGTAGGCCTAAGGGAAGATACAGGCGCTTTAACTCATAATTGCAAGATTTTTCTGTCGTTTATGCTATTTGATTTTGATGTCATTTTGTGAAGTGATGAAATCGTCTCTTAAATTGCCAGATTTAACCAATTTCTGTGTTTTTTGTGTTTTTTTGTATCAATTTCATACAAATATTTTAACACACGATTAATTATTTATTTAATGTTAATATAAAAACTCAACACAATAAATTATTTCTTGTCCGTTTAAAAGGTCATCGTATTAAAAATTTCAAAAAAAAGATACACATTTCAGCAAACTTTGATAACAAATAAAGAATATATTTAGAACTTTGTTTAAAGAAAGATACTCGTTTCTAAACATTATAGAAATAATCCAAATAATTTATTATTGTTATTTCCTGAATGTTATTGTAATAAGTATATTTTGGTAACCTAGCCAACTATACGAGTAGTATGTCTTCAAGTGTGATGAAAATTAATATTCTTGTTTTATCCTCAACGAAGTTGCAGGGGGGTCAAAAGTGCCGGTAATACCTTCGAGAAAAGGATGGTACGGCTGTGCCCAACTTGGCGGGGGCACTGCCGTGCCCCCAGATACCGGGTGCGTCTCAAAAGTGGCTCACACCTATAAGTTTTTATTTTTTCAGATAAAAAAACGAGATTTGGTATGTTAGTATATGACATAAATTAAGACTGATTGACGTATTCATTTGATTTTGGTCACTTCCTGTTTCACCGGAAATGACTACAACTTTTGATTTTTAAATGGCATCCTCGGTATTTTTTTTACTTTATTCCATAGAAAATGACACTCTGAATCGAATGACATATCATATGTCAATTTATGACACATTCGCTCAAAACCAAATTGTATTTTAAATTTCAATCTAGAGTGCCATGGCTGTGTTAAAAACACTAATTTTTAATCAAGGAACCTTGGAAAAATAGATTTGATCGTCTAATGTTTTTAGTGTCTTGTCCTGGCCGGTTAAAAGCTGCCCAAATCGTATTTTTAATCATATCTCAATTTTTTCAAATGGAATGAGGATGGCTCATTACCATATTTGGAAAAAGCATGTTTTTACGAATAATTTGATACCACACACTTGGTATTTCTAGTCAAATTGTCGTTATGAACCGCATGTTACAATTTCAAATAACCATATGCGAAAATGTCAAAAGTTGACATATAATATGTCATTCTATTGAAAGTGTCATTTTCTATCGAATAAAGTAAAAAAAATACCGAGGGTGCCGTTTAAAAATCAAAAGTTGTAATCATTTCCGGTGAAACCGGAAGTGATCGAAAACAATGAATATGTCAATCAATCCTAATTTATGTCATATAATAACATACCAAATATCGTTGTTTTATCTGAAAAAAAAGTTATAGAGGTGAGCCACTTTTGAGACGCACACGGTATAGAGCGTCCAGACTTGAGTATTTTAGCCCGAACGAACCGAAGGCGCAGAGCAGAATTCGTTAAGTCTGGACCTGTCCCCAAGCCTATCCTCGAATTCGGCAATTCGGAATTGTTTGGTTCTAAAAAAGGGCGTTACCTGGAAAGTTTTCCAGGAGTTTTGAAAATTGGTAATTTTATAGATTTTGATGTGCTCTTTCCGAATTTTCAAATTTCCAACTTTGGCACCTCGTATCTGTGCCGCTTACGCCGCCATATCTAAAGTACGTCTACTGGATCTGTGTCTATGAAAGGAATATGGACAAATAACATTTAAATAAATAGCAATATATTTTTTAAATCGATACCAAGAGAGTCCACCTTCCCGTAGGAGATGCAAGACCTTGTCGTTGGTGGGGAAGCTCCTGGTTAGGTTCTGGGGGGAATCCCCTTAGCGCTTGGCTTGGTCTAACAAGCATCTCACTCATCGTCTTGTCCATGGCTGTAAATGGTTGTCCGTGGTTGTCCGTGGCCAGGGAATTACACCAAGACATATAACGATGCCGGACGGGACTACCAAGTCATATCAGGCACCCTCTACTGACTCTGGTCATGTCTCGCGGGTACAGGGTGTAGGGGGTCTTGGCTTAACCGCCTGGACCAAGAGGAGACAACCTTATGGATGCGTGGCTAAATAGAGGACTAGCCATTACTGGCCTCAACCTTGGAGCATCAGGGGGCACCCCATTGTATTTACCCCTTATTTCTACATGCGGGGCTCTGTAGAAGTGGACCGACTATCCCTAGAAACTCGTGGGAACACTATGAGATCTAGCATTAAAAACACCACCGATGAAGCTGTGGGGAAGCCCCTTAGCGACACTGGGAACATTACAAATGAAACTAAAAGAGGGGCTGCTGACACATGCTTGGGATCATCCTACACAAGTGGCACACCAGTTACCACCTTCTCCAGCAAGGGTCGGGAGCCTACCTCTAGACCCAATGAGCGACACAAGCTACCGTTTCATCCACCGTACCCGGCGCAGGCGTGGATCAACTAGGCGGGCTAGACGATCCTCTGAGAGTAGGTCTTAGCGGAGCAGAAGCACGGAGATACCTCCGACTGCTCCACGAAGGACTTGCTCCAGAGGAAGCAAAAGCGAAAAAACTCCTCCGAAAAGGGGAGAGTACAGAAACCAAGAAACAACCTGACTCATCTCCATCAAAGGGCAAGAGAGGAAGCGAGAACCTCTCACCTCTTCTCCGGCAGGGAGAGAAAAAAGCCAGGATGGAAAGCCGTCCAACACCGGGAGGCAAGCAGGGACGTATCGCCAGCTTTGCCGTTATTGAATATATTCAATTATTATTCATAATTATTATTCAATGATAACACTCTTGACCTGTTTTTTATAGGATCCTGCAATTACGCCAATGGCCTATCAAATTTTGAGAAAAAAAGTTCTAGTCAAATTAAACTGTAAATATATAAACAATTTGTTTACATTTTGCTTGTATACAGGGTGTTTCAAAAAACATGCGCCATCTCTCGTGGAGATTCACGTAAAAATAAGATTCATTTTTCATATCAACATAGGTTCGATTCTGCTTTGTTTCGTAGCTACAGGGTGTTAAAGTCTTAATATTTTTTTGATTTATTATAATTTTCTTCCAAGTACTTTTACCATTTCGGATGAAATTTTGGTGGTCGTAAAGGTAACTATAAATGCGTCATATTTTAAAGCTAAAAAAAGGTCGACATATTTGCCGAGGACGTGCATATGGGTTATCACTGGAATATTTTTCTAAAAAAAGACATGTACGCCACCGACTTTTTTCTCTTGTTAGCAAAATAGTATAAGCAGTTTAATGTCGATTAAAAGTTGTCTCTGGATATTTTGTCGATTTCGGCCTCCTTAATGAGATAAACGCAATTTTATTAATTTGCCTTGATCCAAGTCTAATAATAGCAACCTTTAAAAAAATTTAAAATCATTAGCTTGCGAAAATTTTAAATAAGTACTCATTGATTCATCATCAAAAAATATGAAAAAAGTTCCTCTAAACATGGGTATGGAAATGCATAGTTTTAGAGTTACAAAATATTAAAACTTTTTAAAATTAGGTTTTTTGTAATTATCTTAAATGCCATTATTTTTTTATTTGAAATTGCTGTATGTTGGACTAATAGTAATAATAACTAATAGTAATAATATTTAATAATAAATTAGGTATACGTATACGTATATAATTACGTATACGTATATAATTTATTAATTGTTTTTATTTTAATTTTATTAATTGTGATTGATAAAATTGCGTTTATCTCATCAAGGAGGCCGAATTGGAATTGGGATCAAGAGATAACTTTTAATTGGCATTAAACGCCCTACACAGTTTTGATAGCAACAGAAAAAAGTCAGTGGCGCACATGTTTTTTTCTCGAAAGATATTCCGGTGATAACCCATATGCAAGTCCCTGATGAATTTATTGACACCTTTTTAGCATTAAAATATGTAACACTTATAGTCACTTTTACCCCCAAAATTTCATTCATATCATTAAAAGTGCTTGGAAGAAAATTATAATATATCGAAAGATTATTAAGACTTTAACTACATGTAGCTATAAAACAAAGCAAAATCGGACCTATGTTGATATGAAAAGTAAGTCTTATTTTTACGTGGGAAATCTCCCCACGGAGAGATGGCACATGTTTTTGAAACACCCTGTATATTGAGCCAAATCAAATATTTGTATATGATTAGCATATCTATCTTTAATATATCATGTCTATGGATGGTCTCTATAGGTTTCTTTTGCTACTTTCCTTGCTATCCTTTTAATGCATTCTTTTTTGTATTGTATGTTGTATGTTAATTGATAATACAGTTATAAGGTATGATCGAAAAAAAAACAGCGTCTAGTGGGCTTAGAAATGACGATCGATGAAATTCCTCATATAATTTTACAATTTTTACATATAAAATGAAAGCGATCTTCATTTCATAGCCATCGCTGACGCCGTTTTTTTCGATCATACGGTAGTATGTATCGTGTGTAATCTTTTATTATAAAGTATGTACAAATACATATTTAGAAATACTAATGAAAAAATTTCGTTGATTTACCTGATCTATCTCCGTCTACGAAAGAGTTAACTGTCAAAAAATTTGGTGAATTCACTACTTCGTTCACTACCTCTAATTCCAAGTCCAAATTCACTCCTCTAGAACACATTGTCACAACCAGAAGACGAAAATATCACAAATCGTTGTCTTCAAACGTTTATTTTTAACTAAAATGAATTATTTCTAGTATCTAACCAGGATCGATACAAGTTAGAGCGAAATACACAGCGAAATATATCACTTTGTTACACTTTCAAGCCCCCAAATTCACTGTTAAGCCAAGCTAAACGGAACAATACTGACGAAAACCTTATTGGAAATAATACGACGTAAAAATTAACAACATTGACTGAAACAAAAAGCACTACGAACTGTTCTGGCACAATTTCAAAAACATTTTATAAATAAATTTTTGCACGGTGCATTTTTTAACCTAGATAATTATTCGGAAATTTCACATAAAATTACTCTGTTCTACTCTAAAATATACCATATTTTATATCAAAAATGTCATGTGATCGTTTTGTAGTAAGTCGGTTTGTTGGCTGATTAGAATGAGAGTCATATATTTTGTCCGGAATAGATTAATGGAATGTTTTATTATTAGCAACTACTGTGTGCTTCGATTCTCAAGGTTCTTTCGGTGTGCTAAGAGAAGTTTTAAATACTTGTCAAAATGCATTTATTTCCGCTGATTTGTAAATATACAGGGTGTCTTTTAAGTAGTTTAAAACATTCAGAGTTTGGTCTCTCATAAATACCGGGTGCGTCTCAAAAGTGGCTCACCCCTATAACCTTTATTTTTTCAGATGAAACAACGAGATGTGGTATGTTAGTATATGACATAAATTCGGATTGATTGACGTATTCAATTGTTTTCGGTCACTTCCGGTTTCATCGGAAGTGACTACAACTTTTGATTTTTAAATGGCACCCTCGGCATTTTGTTACTTTATTCGATAGAAAATGACACTTTGAATAGAATGACATATCATATGTCAACTTTTGACATTTTCGCATATGGTTTATTTAAAATTGTGACATGCGGTTCATAACGACAATTTTATTCCAAATATACCAAGTGTGTGGTATCAAATTATTCATAAAAAAATGCTTTTTTAAATATGCTAATGAGCCACCCTTGTTCCATTTGAAAAAATTGAGATATGATTAAAAATACGATTTGGGCATCTTTTAACCGTCCAGGACAAAACACTAAAAACATTAGACGATCAAATCTGTTTTTCCAATGCTCCTTGATTAAAAATTAGTGTGTTAACACAGTCATGACACTCTAGATTGAAATTTAAAATACTATTTGTCTTTGAGTGACTATGTCAAAAATTGACATATGTATGATATGTCCTTCGATTCAAAGTGTCATTTTCTAACGAATAAAGTAAAAAAATACCGAGGGTGCCATTTAAAAATCATAAGTTGTAGTCATTTCCGATGAAACCGGAAGTGACCGAAAACAACTGAATACGTCAATCAATCCCAATTTATGTCATATACTAACATACCAAATCTCGTTGTGTTATCTGAAAAAATAAAAAAGTTATAGGATTGAGCCACTTTTGAGACGCACCCGGTATATGTTTATAAGAAAATACAATTATTACAAACATAAGTCGTAAATTACTTCCTTTCTGATTTTACAAGGTGTTAAAAATTTAAAAAAATCGAATTTCTCGCAATATGTCGTAAACTACTTTTAAATATTTACTTTAAATATTTTCTTCAAGTTTGGTGTGTGGTGTCCAGGTATAACAAAGACAGTTTATTTCTATTAACTATTGTTTTCCCACTAATAGATAACATACTTTAGTAGTTCAGTCAATGGGATCAAAAAAGGAGCCTGCTTGGAAAAAAGTCCGGAAGTTTTGTAACTTTGCAGGTTTATAGGTTTTGGGGTCCCTAACTAAAATCCATAAAATGCACATTTCCAGACCTGCCGCCGGCGCCGCCATCTTGCCAAGATGACGCCCAAAATCGGTATTTTCTAAATATCTCGAAAACCATGCGTTTTTCGCAAATTTAAAGAGAGCAAAATTAAAGAGAATAAATTTCTTATAAAAAAGGTTATATGAAAATTTTCGCTAAAGTCAACCGTTTAGGCACAAAATCCTTGGAAATATTACAATTTTGCATAAAGTATGATATACATATTATACTCGATTTTCCGAAATCAAATGTCGATTAGTGTTCATTAAAACTAGTTTTAGTTTAGTTTCTTCAATTTTGTCATAAAACAGTGGCGTATCATTAATTCGCTCATTAATTTATGAATAATTAATTGTCGTGCTGGACAGCATTCATTGCGAACTTACCACCAGGTTCAGCATTGGTCTGGTTGTACCAAAGATGCCGAAGAATGGGGTTGGAAGAAAACAAAAACAGGCATTACTCCAGTCACAACGTTGAAAGATCCAGCTCCAAAATCCCTATTGGCAATTTTATCCTGTTAATGCAAAACCAACAACTGTGGTAAAGCCTGCGGATGCGGGAAAGTAGGATTAAAATGTTCAATGATTTGTGCATACTGCAATGAGAAATCCTGTGACAACGTCACTGAAGTGTCACTCGACGAATCCGATGAAGAAGAGTTGGACTTGCCTGTAGATATCCCTCTGGCGGCTGAAGATGAAGATGAAGAGTTGGACGTATTGAGAGACCACCCTGATGAGCCCAGCACAGCAGACACGATCGACTTTGACAGCAATGAGCCAGATCCGTCGGGCTTGTGCAGATAAGTTAAAGTTTTTAATTTACCTAGTGGAGTAGGTATTACCTACGTATTACCGTATTACCTACGGAGGCCTCCGGGGAGACCACGTTAAAATAAACGCGCCATGTACTTTACCTCTTGGGTGGTATGGAAACAAGTACACATTTTCAATAATTATTCATAAATGAATGACCGAATTAATGATACGCCACTGTTTGAAGAAACTAAACTAAAACTAGTTTGATTTATAAACTAGTTGACATTTGATTTCGGAATCGACTATACATAATATATCATATTTAAAGCAAAAATTGTAAAATTTCCAGGGATTTTGTGCCTAAACGGTTAACTTTAGCGAAAATTTTCATAAAACTTTTTTTATAGGAAATTTTATTCTCTTTAATTCTGCTCTCCTTAAATTTTCGCGAGAAACGCATAGTTTCGGAGATATTCACAAAATACCGATTTTGGGCGCCATCTTGGCAAGATGGCGGCGCCGGCGGTAAGTCTAGAAATGTGCATTTTATGGATTTTAGTTACGGACCCCAAGACCTATAAACCTGCAAAGTTGCAAAAGACTTATTTCCAAACAAAAATCCCCAATGACTGAACTATAGGTACCGTGTTGTAAAAATTGTATCATACTTTTTTGAAGAGGCTTTAAAGTTGTACTTGTGTAGAATTTCGTTTCATTTGGACTAGTAATTTAAAAGTTATTTGCAAAAATCTACCTTCAAATTATTAAAATTTATAATACGACCCAGAGAAATATACAATTCAATATATTACATATGTTTAGTAATTTGAGAGTAGATTTTTACAAATAACTTTTAGATGCCTATTCCAAATAAAACGAAATTCTAGACGACAGTAAAATTTAACGCCTTTTCAAAAAAGTCTAATACATTTTTTTCATAAAATGATCTGGGGAGATATTTGACCTTTTCAAAATTTTCATAGGATTTCCTATGTCCCGCGTTCCGATGCACCACGCGGTATGCGCCGATGCGTTGGGTTGTGCGTGAACCATCAAGGAAATATTACGAACACAATGGACGAATTTCCAAACGAACTAACGCAAAAAGCGAGTCGCAATCACGAACCGCATTGACGCAACGCATCATACTCACTGTCTGCATGGACGCATCAAATGAACGCATCAACTTTGGTGTCTTCTCTTGCGGTCGTATTAAACCAGGGCATACTGTATCTTTATTTAATTACCCTCATATGCAAAAAACCGTAACGGAAAATTTTTTGGTCTAGTTTAAAATGATATATTTTTTTATTTTTAGCCCTATTTCCTTGATTTTTCAGAAAAGTGTTTACAAATATATCAACTCTGATCCGTAAACTTGGTTTATTATAAATTTTAGTATTTTACTTATTATACCTACAGGGTTAATCGAAGAGTTTTGTTTTTTCCTTATCTTCAAAACACCCTGTGTAATAATTTCGTGAGCAAATTTTCCTAAAACATTTTTCGGTCTGAAACATATCTCCTGAATATTTTGATTCTTGACTGTCAACACGTGCCTGTGAATGTCAACACGTGGCTTGGTTAATTTTTAAAAGCAAAATGAACTCACCACAAACATTTTGCAATTTTTTCATTTTATAATTTTTTTTTTGATGTTAGTCTTCACAATGACGAGGTGGCTTTGGTGATTATTGTTGTGTACGAATGAACTTGGTTCTTAGTGTTGAATATTATGCAAAAGTCATTGATCTTGTTGAAGATGGCCGAAATTATGAATATTCCTTTGTTTTCGTTGAAATTTCCTTGTTATTCATATTCTTGGTCCTTGAAGAAGAATGGGAAAACATAACACAATATATTTGCAGTCTCATTAACAGTATGAACCGACGTTAAGAAGTATTATAGTATTTTTACAAGTTTTTTGTTTGTACACTTAGTTACTTAGTTACAGTTATTATTTTAATATCCATAGTTCTGCTAGTGTTACTAATATTTATTAACACCATTTCATTTCGCTCTTAAAATTTAACCAAGGCATTGACTATCAACATGAGTCAAAAAAGAAAATGCTCAGGAGACATGGTTCTGATCGAAAAATAATGTTTTAAGAAAAGTTACTGACAAAATGATTGCACAGGGTGTTTTAAAGTTAGGATAAAAAACGACCCTTCAATTAACCGTGTATAATAAGCCAAATACTAAAGTTTATAAAAAACTGAGTTTGTGAATTAAAGTTGATAGATTCATATAGTACAGTTTGCTAAAAATTCATAAAAATAGGGCTAAAAGTAAAAAAAATAACATTTAACACTTTAAACTTGACGAAAAAATTCTCCGTTGCGTTTTTTCTTCTGAGTGTATATTTAATAAAGGTTGAAAACTTCTTAATTAATTTCATAACGCCGCTCATTCTTATAAAGAGAGAAAATTATTCAATAAACAGCCGATTGTGAATATAGAAAGTGCTTGGATAATAATAAAAGCAAATGTTACAGAGTCGAATTATCTCGATATCAATTTACTGTAATGTTAATTAGAATTATTAGTTCTTAAATATGACACCCATTTAAATTAAATAGCTATTTGCTAATACAACTTACTAGAAACTGGGAACGAATGTGACGATTCACTGACCAAACCTCTTCTAGACA